CACTTCCATTTAGATCACCCCTGAAAAAACCTCTTGAAGAACCCTGATCGCTTTCATGTTGGGGTAAAATTACATATCGATAATGCCCAGATTTGAAAAAGCTACTTCTTGCCCTTTTTTTTAACTTAAAATAGATACACTTAAAACTTACACTTACTGAATCCTTGAGTCAAACTGAAAAGCGTACGTGTGATATTTCTCGCTTGAAGCTTTCCTTCCTTAACTTCTTTCGTCAGATGCTTTCCATTAGCTCTCAACTAACGAACAAACAAAGCAGACCGATCAATCAACGGGTTTTCTCGTGGGCGAAGGGGGCTAAATATATAAATTTAAAATTTATGATTAATAAATGATTGTAATTAATATATGAAAAAAATACCAAAAAGAACTAAACTCTCTCCACTTTATATATATATGTATATTCATGAAAAAGAAACTAAAAGATACGGAGGCTTTAATGAAAAAGGTAAACTTTTAGGGGTGTGAACATAATTATTCCAAAAATCATATATCAAATACATAAAAACACAAATATTAAAAAAAAAGAGGGAGAAAAACGACTTCTCTTCTCAATATTATACATATCTTCCTTTGTCATTCTCTGTGGGCATCAACAGGTCATTCTCTTCTGTGCAATTTTCTTCCTATTTTATTTTCTCAGTTTCATTTTTTTGTTTAAATTTTTTTATTTTCTGGATTATTTATCTATTTACTATTTGTTGTTACAGGTGAGTGAAAACAGAGAAGGATCTGATGTACTTCCCGGTTGATCTTAATTATACACAAGATCATGATGGCCCTTGAAAATAAAGGTTTGATTTTTTCTTCTTAAGTTGTTCCTAGGAATTTTTGGATTTAAAGTTTTGAACTTTGATCTGTTTTGAGTTATGGGTTTTAGTATATTTGATTGAATTTTTTCTTTGATTCCTGGGGGGTTTTATGCGAATTTTTTTGGCTTTATCTTGATGGTTTTTGATTTGTTCTTAAAAAGCCAGTTCCTTTTACTGTTTTATTTGTTTATTGTTGAGATCCCTTGGCTTTATCTTCATCTAGGTTGCTTTAGTTTTGAGTATTTTTTTATTTGAATTATTTAAATCAAATTTAGGAGTTCCCCCAGGGTTCCTGTAGGACTGGTGTGAGATATGGTGTCTTGAAGGTTTTTTAAAACTCTGGCCTACCATTGAACATTACTAATGCCAACTGAAAGTTTATGTTATACTCTTTTTTTATTCTGGTGACTTGGAAAGTTGGACCACTGATTGGATAAACAAAGAATTATATATCGGCTTAATCGCAAAAATGTTGTATTAACTTGGTTTATGTTACCCTAAATTGGAGGTGTCAATTGATTCTGTTGTTTATTTATTGGAATGAGTGGAAGATAAGTATGTAATTATTGTTTTACGTATTTTGTTCTAAGCTGTCTGTTATTTGACCGAATCTACCTTCTTTAGCCTTAAGCAAGCCGTACTGTGTGGAGAAGATTTACACGGTGTATGGTACTATTTCTAGATAATTTGTAACCTTTTTTTTGCTTGTTAGGATCTTTTGTGGTACCCTTTCTATTGAATAGCCTCATTGCCATACACATCCCTCATGGTGAAGTTACTCTCTCTTTGTCACAACGTGGTCTGTTTAGGTTTCGGATCCCTAAAGTACCACGAGACTGTTAGTTCATGGTGTGTGGTGACGGGTTTAGGTTTTACTGTTACCGTCTCAGCTCAGTTTCATTAGCAATTAGGTGTAAATTTGGGCTTAAATCAACCAGTGGGTAACATTCATGTCTAGAAAGTTCCTGCATGTTAGCTACAAGGTTTATGTTAAATAAAGATATTAATAAAATGGGTCTTATGTTGACTTTATTTCAGGCGAAGTTTGACACTCATTCTTCTAAACAAGTAGAAGGGTGTTTATTCCTTCATTTGGCTAATCTGCATGTCGTTAGGTCCTCAACCACCATGGCCAAATGAGATTGGCTAGGCTTTGTGAATGAAGTGGTAGTCTATTTTTTCCTCTCTTTTATTTCTTGGCGAGAGAGATGATAGTATTGTTGATGGTCTAACATTTGAGTATTTTTAATGTGCTTAGATTAACTCATGGTATCAGTTTTACTCATTCTCTGAATTGCATAGTGGTCCGATTTAAAGATGAGCTAACTCTCACCAAGAGGTCAAATGTAGGTTTTAAAAATGAGCTAAATGGGAATCTAGAGAAATACAATCCTCGCACCATACCCATTGTACGAGGCTTCATACCTAGTAAAATTCATTGCCCATAATATGCTTCCATCTGATTTTGTGATGATTTTCAGAAATAGTGGCACCTTCTAAGCTGTTCCTTTCACCGTCAAATTAAAAGTTTAATGGAGGAATATATTCCTGGTAACCTCTCTAGTTATTCATTTGTTGAACCTTATTTAGCTCACCATTTTTTTGTAAAAGGTGATGGGCCATTGCCAGAGGTGGTAATGCATGATATGCATTTCATCTGATCTAATATATGTTATTCTTGAGTGAAGTCCGTTGGTGAGATAAAGGCTTTTAACATGCATTACAAGTCCTTTCATCCTTTTTTTGTTTTTTTTTTGGTGCGTACGAGCCTTGTTGCTACTGGTTTATCTCTCACTGGATTCCCCTTCTGCTGATGTTGGTTATTGCTTGTCGTTACCATTTTCGAAAGCAACCTCATCGTAGAATTTCCTTTCTTGTTCTTTATGTGCTGTCAAATTTGTGAGTAAGTTATATTTTATTGGAAGCCATTTTACTCGGACTTGGGTGTGTCAAATACAATTATATTGTCGGTTTGGGTGTTTTCAAAATTTTCCTTTTTTCCATTCATTTCGAGGGTCCTTGGATGCTCATGTCTGAAAATGATGTCTGAAATCATAATACTGGAGTTGTTCATCACAATCAACATATCTTGAACTTCTGAAATCATAATTACAATGGGTCATATTGGTGACGATAAATTAAATTTAATAATATGCTGATGTTTATGCTTATTTATTTTATGCAGAAACAATGCAAAACTGTGAGGCAACCTTAAAATGCCTCCAGACGAAGGGGATCCCGTACAACCTGCAATGTACTGGGAATTCCATTGAAGGTATTCCCGAGCTTAAAGATGAAATCTGTAGTCACCCGGGTGGGGATGTTGTAGAACCGGTTTGCTCTTTGAATGGACAGTTTATGGAGCTTCCAAATGAATTTTACCACAAACCTACCCTTCAACATGAACCTGACTCTTGGCCGACCTTCTATCCCGACACTCATAAGCTGCAGTCATACCCACCAAATGCTTTTGGGAGGCAGTTTTACCAATTTCCCATGGATAGCCGATTTCACTGTCCGCCATATAATATGGTAACTCAAGGATACCCGTATGAATTCCAGTTCCAAGATTTTCAGTACTTCGTGGTCATAGACTTTGAGGCTACCTGCGACAAGGAGAGAAACCCCCATCCACAGGAGATAATCGAGTTTCCTTCCGTCATTGTGAGCAGTGCTACTGGCCATCTGGAAGCATGTTTTCAGACATACGTCCGACCAACTTGCAACCAACTCCTGAGTGATTTCTGCAAGGATCTGACTGGCATCCAGCAAATTCAGGTCAGTTCCAAATTCCTTATGACTTTACCAAGACCGGGAAACTAGTTAGCCTATATTCTAAATCTGCATTTACGTGTTCTAGGTAGATAGAGGCGTTACTCTCAGCGAGGCTCTCCTTAGGCATGATAAATGGCTTGAGAAGAAGGGCATAAAGAACACCAACTTCGCCGTGGTGACATGGTCAAACTGGGATTGTCGGATAATGTTGGAATCTGAGTGCCAGTTTAAGAAGATCCGGAAGCCTCCTTACTTTAACCGGTGAATGGATTTGATATGCGCTTATTTTGGGTCACAAGAAAATTGTGATGATGTTGTAGCCGTCAACATTTATATTTATTTATTTATTTATTTATTTATCTTGGTCTTCTTTTGGCAGTTGGATTAACTTAAAAGTTCCATTCCGTGAGGTTTTTGGTGGTGCACATTGCAATCTGAAGGAGGCGGTCGAGATGGCAGGTCTGGTGTGGCAGGGGCGTGCACATTGTGGTCTTGACGATGCTAAAAACACAGCTCGCTTACTCGCCCTCTTGATGCGCCAGGGTTTTAAGTTTGCTATCACGAACTCTCTGGTGTGGCAGGCTAGCGATGGTCCGGTGACATGGAACCCGATCCCTGAGAACACGGGTTTCTCTCCTCATCACCCCCACAAGCCTAAGGATCAACAAATTCCCTATTCCAGTACCGCCCTTACTGTTTCTGCGGGGTGAAGAGCAGCAAAGGAATGGTTCGGAAGCCCGGACCAAAGCAAGGAAGCGTCTTCTTCGGCTGCGGGAACTGGACTGTCACCAGAGGTGCTCGCTGCCACTACTTTGAGTGGGCTTCTCCTAACTCGAAAATCTGCTCAAGGGTTTGTCCATCTTTCTTGATGGCATCTCAAGCCCTACTTAGATTGTCCTGTAAAAAATGAAAAAAAAGGTATAAAAGCAATGGTAATGGGTTGTCTCCTCGTTGAAGCACATATACCTTAGGTTGCTTAACTGCTGGCTGAGGGTTCTTCTTCTAGGAAAACACCGTATTAGTCCCCGGCATGGGTGCTCTGGGCCATGCACGGAACTAAAATTGGAGCTTCGAACATGTTTAAAGCTGACTTGTTTGACAAGAGAACAAATCGGTAATGTGAGGATTTGGCTTAGTTAGGATTAATGCATTTACATGCTTAAAAGAACATGGTTAAATTACCATATAATAATCTTATGAGATAGGGACAGCTTGATTTCCTATGCTTTTCTAATGAGACTCGGCAGTTTGTGCTTGCAATTTGTTTCTCAACTTTCCAACAATCTTACATAAACAGGACTGGTTTTGGCTTGGTCTTCTTGCTTTGCACCAGGTTGTGAAACCCCGAGCTAAGTGTGCAGCTTATCGATCTAAATTTTTTGATGGTACACATACTAGAATTATTGTTTTAGTTGTTTTGCAGCCATTGAAGGATCATAGGAGGGCTTATCCGGGTAGAACCTCAGTTTCCCTGCCATTGAAGTTGGTTTTGCCATGAGATGAGCTTGGTTTTGGTTATGTTTTGATTATAATCAGTAATTCAGGTCCAAATTTATGTTTAGTTCATATAAAGATTAAATTACAAATTGCAATGCTTAACATAGTTTAAACCAAATTGTCATCAATACCAAACATAGGTAAAGAGAGGGAAATATAACAACAATGATGGGAAGTATTTTAAGAACTTGGCAGAAGAAACCTTTGTGCCATGGGATGCTTGGCTTCAGATAGTTCATTAGGCTTCAGTACTTCAACAATTTCACCATTCACAAGAAGGCAAACCATATCTGCAACCCTTTGGATTTGCTTGATGCTGTGAGAAACCATTACAACTGTCATCCCCCTTTTCTTCTTGAGCTTCGCTATCACATCCTCTATGTTCTGTGTCGAGATCGGATCCAAGGCACTTGTTGGTTCATCCAGCAGCAAAACCGTAATTCGGACCAATCAATATCACAGCAAAGAAACTATGTTATTTTGAGGTAATTGGTCAGAAAAATCATGGAATCTGAACAAAAAACATGGCAAATGCGGCAAAGCTTGAATACAACACATCAGCTGGGGCTTGGGGTAATGGCTTCCTCAGCAAAACCCGAGTTTGAGATGTCAATATACAACAAAAGAAATCAAGCTTTTTGAGGTAATAGGTCAGAAAAATCATGGAAACTGAATAAAAAACATGGCAAATGCAGCAAAGTTTGAATGCAACACATCAGCTGGGGCCTGGGGTAATGACTACCTCAGCAAAACCTTAAAACCCAAGTTTAAGAGTTCAATATCCAACAAAAGAAACCATGTTATTTTGAAGTAATGAAACATGGAAAGTGCAGAAAACATGGTTACCTCAGGTTCATTAGCCAGTGTCCGAGCAAATGCAACTCTTTAAGCTTGACCAACAGATAATTCACCACCAGTTTTACGGAGAAAGGAGGGATAGATCTGCAAGTGTTAGCAACTTGGAAACTTCAACATCACTTAACTTCTTCCCTCTCAAGTTTGGTCCATATCGAGTGTTATCTGCAACAGTACCTAGAAAAGATCCACACATCTTTACTTTGCATTACATTGACAAAAAAAAAAGCACTATATTTTTGTTAAAATTTTATCAAACTTCCCATCCAAACAAATTCAAAGAAAAAATAAAATGATTAATTTAAAGGTTTGTGATCCAAATAAAATTTGAATTTAAAGTTTAGTGATCTAAAATGTAAATTACTCCAAGCTTAAGCGATTCACAATAGAAAATACCACAATTACTCATGAACTATGATATTATGTGTAATGTGATACATAAACTTTGATTTTGGGTAATTGCATACATAAAGTTCTGTTCTGTTCAATTTTTATAAATTACTAAAACATTTATCGATTTAGCATCATTTATTTACATATTGCATACATAAATAATTATATTTATCCAATAAATAAAATAATTTATCTATTTTAAAATATGTACAACTGAATCAGAACAAAATTTTGATCTGTTCACATGAACCAAAATCAAAGTTTTTTTGACAAATTCTATGAACTTTATCAGGTTAGCCATTTTATCTCTTAAACATTAATTACATTCTTCTTCACTATCGACCTTTAAATCTTCTATCAAATTGACCCAAAACTGACAAAGTAGTTGCACTATTTTGTCCTTATTTGAATGCTAACATCAGTTATTTGTCCTTTTATGCCATGGTATCATTTTTTAAAAAAATATTAAAAATTATAAAAAAAGAAACGTTGATATTATCATCCCAACAAGGACATATTAGTTAATCTTTCAATTTTTAAATTTTTTTTGATGGTGTGATATAAAAAAATAGTTGACAGCCAATTTAAAGACGATAGTATTTCATCATATTTAAGTTAATTTAATAAATAAAATAAAAATTTGAAGGCTAAAAAGAATATAATAAAAATTTAAGTGTTAAAATGAATAACTGATAAAATCAAATACCTAAAAGCGGATTATTTTATGATATTTATCCTAATTACAAATTCTTAGCTAAACCTTAATTAAGAGTTTTTGTAATAAAAATAATTTCTTAATTGACATCTTTACTCTCTACTTTCCCCTTACTTTTTGTTCAAAGACAGTTTTTCCCCCTTCAATGTGATTTCATTAGGGTAAATTACATGCTTGAACTCCACTCTCCCTACTATTTCACTCCCCGTACTTTTTTTTTTTTTTCAATTTACTTACTGAACTTTAGACATTATACTTTTTTGGTCAATCGACCGTTTACTCCGTAACCGGGTGCTTATGTGGCCTATTTTAATAGTAAAACATGCCATGTAGGACATATAATTAAAAAGATAAATTACATGTTTACTCACTGTACTTTTAATTTTTTTCAATTAATACATCAACGTCATAACACCGTTAGAAATTTAACGATAGAGTAACCAAAAAAGTTCAATGTCTAAAGTTTAGTGAGCAAATTGAAAAAAATTGAAAGTATGATGAGTGAGATAGGAGAGAAAGTAAAGTTCAGTGAGTAAGCGTTTAATTTACCCTTTCATTTACTCTTGCAATTGATTCTTCAGCTCTTGCAATTCTTTCGGAGCCATACGATAAGGTGCCATTGCAATCAGAGCTGTTCCCGACATCACCTCAATTTGAAATTCTACCTCTCTATCTGGAGGTAATCTTGGCAGCTCTGCCGAGAAAATATCAGAAAATTCTCGGATTATTGGAATCTTATCTAAACCTTTTTCTTTAGCTCTTGCATCTACCATATTTGCAAGAAAACCTTGACATCCCTGAAGCAAGAAAACCCTGACATCCCTGAAGCAACAATTTCTTTGCCGACATCACCGATATTATATTTACTAAAGGACTAACTCTCACCGCTCACATTCACTTATGTTCCTTCTAGACTTCTCAGAGTTACCTTTTTCAATCTACAATCAATATTCCCATAGTAACGAAACAACCAATCCATTCCCAGAATTACTTCAAACTCATCAAAGGGTAGTTCTATCAGATTAGCAGGGAATTCAATTCCCTGAATCCTTATGGGACACCCCTTACAAACCTTATTTACCCAAGCACTATGCCCTAAAGGATTTGTTACTACCACATCATTATTCGTAGCTTTTAATAGAATTCTTAATTCTCTTACTAATTTACTACTAAAATAAGAATAATTGGAACCCGAATAAATCAATACCAATATCAATTTATCAAATAGCTGGAAGGTACCTGCTACAATCTCGGGATTATCACGGTCTTCACTTGTCTTTAGATTATATACCCGAGTGGTTGAGCAGATTTCTGGTTGTGCAGATGATTCAGACTGGTTCCTCTCTCTACCTCTTCCTCCTCCTCTTTGCGAGGAAGAACCATCTCTCTCCGATGGTGCAGACTCACCAACCATCAATAGACAATCCCGAATAAAATGTCCGGTATCTCCGCATCGGAAACAAGCTCCGGAAGCCATCCGACATGTCCCAAAATGATTCTTTCCATAATGTTGGCACTATCTTGCTTGACCTTGATTGGATCTCCTAGCACCGGATCCCATTAATTGCGTCTGTCTAGCTCTCGCCTAACTTGCTCCTCTAGCAGAGGATGCAACTGATTTTGATCTAGCTTGAGGTCGAAATCTTGAATCTCTTCCTCTTTTTGGTAATTCAGAGCTTGAAGAAGCACTCGTTCTCTTCAAAGTCTGAACTCTTTGATCCCTAAATCTTTCATTATGAGCTCTCTCAAGAGTTTTAGCACAATTAACCACCTCCTAGAATGAGAATAAGTTCAGTACTATCAATATCTTTTTCAATCTAGGGCGCAAGCCTTCCACAAACCATTCACAAGATTCTTTCTACAAGCTCAACTGCAATCCAACTCAGCTTATTAAACTCACACTCGTATTCATATACATAGCGATTTATCTGCTTCAAGTTCATAAACTCCTGCTTCATTTGCCGGATAAATTGATCTCCAATATACTTGTGCTTAAATTCTTCCAAGAACAGAGACCAAGTTAACTGGTCACTTGACATCCTCATGGTGACGTTCTTCCACCATATCCTCTCTTGTCCCCTTAGTAAAGATACAACCCCATCCAACTTCTCTACTTCAGATCAGTGGAGACTATCTAGCATGATTTTTAGATCATTTAGCCAAAGATCCACCGCAACCGGACCTTCCTCGGCTTCTCCCTTAAATTCTGGAGATCCTAATCCTCTAAACTCTTTTGTTATATTCACTCTTTGAGTTGATGGAGCAGGAGGTTGGAGTCAGAATAGTGTCAAACGTCCTAAAAACGTATCCTGGTCTTGTACAGGCACTCCCTAAGATGCTTGTCCTTCACCTTGCCTGGCTAGGGCAGGTAAATTACTACTTTCCGCTGGCCTATCCTCTCCCGCTTTATTTCTGGAGCTACTATGTTTGGACATTTAATAAAATAAACATATCATTCTATTAGTAAGACATAATACTCATTTTTAAATCAGATAAGAAGTTATCACTTAAAGTTAGCATGTATTCATTTAAGGACACTTTGGACTCCGGTTTATGCCTAGAATAGGCTAAACCATAGTTCTGATACCATTAAATATAACACCCCCAACCTGTACCCGACCCAAATACGAGTCCGAGTTATCATATTACCTTTTAAGACCATAGACTTGTACAAAACAATAGAAAATTTAAACTTATATTATGAAATCCCATAATTTACATTAGTTTAATAAAAAAAACTTATAAACATAATCAGAGAATACACAACTTAACATTTGATTACATGCCAACATTGAATTACACAACAAAATAACATACTATTTACGTTACTTATGATCTGATAGTTACAGGAAAATGTCATCCCAGCTGTCTAATCTTGCTTGACTACCTTCTTAGCTCGACGTGTGAAACACTCACACGCTAAGTCATCGACTTAGTGATGTAGAACAATAATAAAAATAAAATATAATGATAATGCCATAATGAAATGAAGTATAATGAAACACACATTTTATCAATGCAATTTATACCATAATGTTTCTTACACATAAGCCTAT